TCACGTGGTGCTGAGGCGGCGTTGCCCACGCAGTAGAATGTGTAGCCAGCATCTGCTTCATGCAACTTACCTTGCTCAGCGAGCCGGGTTTCACTGAGCGCCGCAATGTCGATGTTGTAGCGCGCCAGCTCCATCGCGACCAGCGCAGTGCGTCGCTCTGGGCGCTCGCTGGAGTTCCGATCCAGTAGTGTGCGCACGTTCCAGCATCCGATGCTGAGTGCTTTACGCGCTGGCATACGATTGCATTGGTGGGCAATCGCACGCGAGGTGGTCGTTGTGCTTCGGAGGTTTGCTTGAGGGACACCACCCAGAGCATTTGGCTCAATAGCCTTACTCACAAGGCAGTGGGTGGTTTGGAGGTTTGCTTGAGGGACTACGCCCGGAGCCTTTAGCTCAATAGCCTGACCCACAAGGCAGTGGGTGGTTTGGAGGTTTGATTGAGGGACTCTGCCCGGAGCCTTTGGCTCAATAGCCTGACCCACAAGGCAGTGGGGAGCAGATCCAGCTCGGGAATGTGATTGCAGAGACAGATGGGGATCTGCTTGACGGCCGTCACACGCAGCCTTTGAGGTACTGGAACAATTATTATATGTTTTGCGACCGTAGTAGAATACGCACCTGCAACCACGGCCAGGCGCAGGTGGGTTTTGGCGGGTTTGCACCAATTCGACCAGGGGCTGCCTGGCTTGAGGCGGGCAGTAGCAAACCATTGAACACCCGGAGGTGTCCTCCCACCGTCAGAGACAATGCGTGGCACTCGTGCTCTACGCCAATCGAGCTGTGAGCTTATAACCCGTAAACCTGTTGTCTCCCATGGCTAGGTTTTACGGGAGAAGAGTCATTGACCACTTCCTAACCTCCGAAGAGGATGGACTAGGATACTGGCAGGGCGCCCACACCTGACAGGAGAACGACTCGGGTCCTCAGCCAAAGCCTTCGATTAAATGAACACCCGAAAGGCAGCGGGTCTAGCACATGGTCAGTTCACTGACTTATGCGGATTGGGGTCCTGGATCTTAGCAGGGAGAAGGGCGAAACCCAAATCCCACGCAGCGGTCGCCACGAGGAGGCGCCCAGGACATGAGCAAAATGGCACAACAGTAGCAGCAGTGGGTAGACCATCTGTCAGGATCTAGCCACCACCAGCCTCAGTGCACCATAGGCTCTCTCGCCACACACACACACACACACACACACACACACACATATATATATATATATATATATATATATATATATATATAGTCGATTCCGGTTAATCGGACCACATCGGGACCAGACCATTTTGGTCCTATCAAGCGGCTGGTCCGATTAACCAAAGTTACCCAATGTAACAAGATGGGACGTCGGCCGGTGGCCGAGTGGTTGGCACGTTTGCTTTCCAACCATAAGGTCACCGGTTCGAATCTGCGTGGGGGTGGGCGTCCTCGCGGTATACTCAGCCCGCGCGCGACTAGTGGTGGTCGCGCGGCAGCGAAGCGCCGTTACGGCGTATAAGCTGACACCTTTCTTCTTTTCATACATAACATAAGAAGCTACTATTATGACCTTTATTGCCGGCATATATTTATAGCAAACACACAAAAAAGGACTGCTTTGATAACGAACTTTGTTCACTGAAAAAGAAAGTTACAAACAAGTTCTTCGTAACGATCTACAAGATGCTCAGCATGCGAAGTACAGTTTTATACAAAGGGATTACCGAATTTCATTCAGCGTTTGAAGACCGTATCCAGTGTGATTTGACGCATTCTTTTAACAGACTGCATTCGCACAGAATCACCACAAACATGTAACGCAGTAATAGGACTACCTTCATTTCCTTCCTGCATGAAATAGCGGTGCAACGTTTCAATGCATTTCCTTGCATCCTGTTTTGTGACTGGCATCAACACGTTAGGGTTCTCTTCACCACTTCCATGGTCTTCTGTTGCTGTCGTGTGTTTCGCTGCTATTCGAGCAACAATGGCAGCATCGCATTTTTCATTTCCATCATAGAGTTGAAGTTCGTTGTCGATTGACAAAAATTCTTCGTAATTTTCAACTTGTTTCAGCTCCACATTCTCGCCGTCATTTTCATTTACAATCACCATATCCACATCCATCTCCGAGACAATATGCTTAAAGCCACCGTGAGAAAAACAGTTCCGAATTGTCGCACTGCTCATTTTTCGCCAATTTTCGGCCACGAATGTAACGGCTTGCAAAATGTTGACGTTTGCACTGATTTCTCCGGCCGTCGAGGATGAGGTCAGCAAGCCTTCTTCAATTGATTCCAGGATGTAATTCACCAACCTTGAACGATAAAAGGTCTTCAAATTTTTATGATGCCCATGTCCATTGCCTGTATCAAAGATGTGGTGTTGGGAGGCAGAAATTCCATCTGGATATTCTTCAAGAAATCCAAATTTGAATGTGCTGCACAATTGTCGAGACGTAATAACACTTTTCTCGACTGGCGTTGTAGCTCTGTGTCCCAATCCTTCACCCATTCTTTAAAAAGTGTAGAGCTCATCCATGCATTTCTGTTCGCACGATACACAACTGGTAAACTGTCCATTCTGAGTCCCTTAAAGCAGCGAGGCTTGGCACATTTTCCTATAACCAGCAACTTCCTCTTGTCTGTTCCGGACATGTTTGAGCAGCGCAAGACAGTTACGCGATCCATTGCTTTTTTGCAGTCAGAGAGAGTAACATGTTTGTAACTTAAGGAGCCATCCGGTGTAGCCCTATAGTACAACCCGGTTCCATCAGCATTATAGATGTCATCTGCTGGAAATTTTTCAAGAAGCTCTGGTAGTTTTGTTGATTTCCATTCTTCAGCTCGAGCGCTATTTGCACTTTCTTTCTCACCATGTGCTTTCTTAAATTTTACATCATGTCTAGATTTCCATCGAGACAACCAGCCGTCCGTAGCTATAAAATCTTCGTGGCCCAGCATTTTAGCGAGTTCTTTTGCTTTGTACTTTAACATTGGGCCACTTACTCGCACGGCTCGTCCAGTAACAAAGGCAAACCAATCATTAAGGGCCTCATCGACGTCTGGATCCTTGCCTTCACGCTTCCGTTTTTGGGAAGTACCTCGTCGTCCTTCACATTGTGCCCATTCTTCTCGCAGATCTTTCTCTTGTTTTATCAGGCGCGATATTGTAGATTTTGCCAAGCAGGTAATTTTCACCAATCGACGCTGACTAGTGGTTGGTCCCTGTTCCTTGATCTGATCTAGGAAACGAATCTTCTCAGCTAACGTCAAGTCCCGTCGTGGCGTTTTCTTAACATGCAACAAGACACGCACAGTTCACTGAGGTGAACTCGAGTCTGTCTCCCGGGTATTTCTATGGTTGACCTAGCCACCTGCTGTCCTATGATTTGCCGGACCTGTGTGTCCGCAATCACTTGCCGTGCTCGAGAGTAGGCCCGCAATGCGGGCTCAGGGCATTCGGCTCAATGGACGTGCGGTACATCGATCGAGCGGTTAACGACATGTGAACAAGCATGTATGTCTTCGCTCCGCCTACAAGTGTTGGAAACTACAGTCAGTTTCGGGCGGTTCTGAAGCCAATTAGATAGATGTGCCTCAAGGTTGCCACAGTTCAGTTTATCCAAAGGCCAACTCGGATTACCGTAACTGAATGATACGCTTTCTTGCCCGACCTATGAACTGTGGGTTTAGTCCAGACATCCAGGCAGAGAACTTGATTTTAACACCTCTGTTACCTGCCACCTATCGTCTGGTCCGATTAAGCGGAATTCCGGTCCTAATAAGCGGCTAAAATTAGGCTAGCGTAATAGGATTCGTTTCGGTTCTTCAGAATTTGGCCCGAATAAGCGGCTGGTCCTATTAACCAGTGGTCCTATTAAGCGGAATCGACTTATGAGTTTTAGCTAGAAGCGTGCTCCTCGCAATCTTCAGTTTCATGAGTTGCGAATTAGGCTACAGAGGCATCGGTGCTCTAACATAACAAGCATGTACGTTAGCCGATTTGATGTTCTAAATTACAAAACCGTACAGTGGTGTTGAAATTGTCGCTGGACTTATGTCGGATCGATGCCACACGCGGGAAGTTATCGCGTAAGCACCTCTGCTTTAATATTCGTGATCTCGTATTTTATTTTATGGGCACCTATGCATCTGCCCAGATAATTAATTTTGTGAACGACTTCTGTCTGGTTCCCACGCGTTTGCCGTGGTGCGTCGGCTTTACTGTTTTCTGCACGTGTGTGAACAAAATCATCTTATGGCTTGACAATATAAGGAATAATTCACTAAAATACTTGATTAAACTGACGTGTAGTCTCCTTCCGTACCTTTTATTTGGCATCGGTTACTCTGCTGATTTTGTCGCAAGGTCAACGACACCGATACACAGTCAGTTTATTCTTCCTTTTCTACACTGGTCAAGGGGTTTGAATTTCAGCCTTCGCTTCTCCAGTTCAAGTCGGCTCTTGATTATTAGTGCCCCTAATATATCTCAGCTCGCCTACAACTCATCTCTGCTGCATAGCAAGTTCTGGCATACTTTTGCTACCTTTTGCACTCTTTTCCAGTTTTTATGCCGTCGTTTCATCGTCCTGATGCTCTTTTGTTTTTCTTTTTTGCTTTTTGTCCGTTTGCGCTTTTTCCCTCGCTTTACTTCCCTATATCTGTTATTCATTTACACGCTTGGACCACTCATCTTAATTTCTTGCGTTCTAATCGGGTTGCCTCGCTTTACAACATCACTCCGTTGCCAGCTTTTTCACCTGGCTACACCGTTCACATTATCCCACCGAGGAACGATCAGCCTATTTTGCTTTACTAATGTCGTCTTATTGGATGCGCGCACTTCCTTCAACCTCGTAGTTCACTCGGATATGGCGGCTATCTCTGGTTGAAAAGGTATGCGCTTTTTGATTGGTTCTGTTGTTAGAAGTGATCTTTCCATGAGTTTATGGAAATGTTTAGTTGTTCATCTTTTAAGGGAGGCTTTATTACATATTTGACTTTCTTTCGTTGTAGCGTACGTCACTAGATGGCCAAATGCCAGATGCGGAATGCGTCACGGGACTGGATCATGCGTACGATGTTGTGCGTTTTCTGAAATCTGTTCAAGGTCAAGCATCGTTTTCGCCAGCTGAGGAGCGAGCGAAATTGTTCCGTGATCTGCGACATCAAAGTGATGTGTGCCGCTTACTTGCCCTCAATATCACCGGAACAGTCTTATGTGTTCCTTACGGGCGCACAGAACCAAATGGGGAAGGTATGGAGGCGTTCGACTGGTTTCCGCCCGAAACGTGGTGCTCTGACGTGGATCACGTCATTGTGTACATTCACGGTGGATTCTGGAAAGCAATGGATTTACCTGAGTCCAGTCATTGGGCCACTCCAGTTACACAAGCTGGTGCGATTTTCGTCGCGTTGTCCTATCGCTTAGCTCCTTGGCAATCACACCATGCCATGCCAGGGAGTATTTGCAAAGCTTTGGCACAAATTTATGAACGCAGCTGCAAGCACGTCCAGAAATTAACCAACAGGTCACCGAATATAAGACTGCATTTGTTCGGCCATTCTGCTGGGGCACAACTGGTCCTGGAATCTGTGATGCTCGTTATCAGTGAGTCGTCAAAGAAGGAGGCGCAATGGCTGACAACTCTGACCTCTCTCATCTTGGTCTCCGGGCTTTACGATCTCAGACCATTAGTTCACACTAGCTTCAACACAGTTCTCAATCTTCGCTCAGAAAGTGATGCTTGGTGTTGCAGTCCATTGCGTTACTTCACCAGCATCGATGCAAAAGTGACGTGCATACTTCGCTCAATTCGCGTGCTTATCGCGTGGGCAGAATTCAACCCTCCCGCTTTAATTGAACAATCTGGCCGTCTGGCCTCCTCTTGGAATTCTGCATTGGCAAGTGGGAGTCCAGGCGTTTGCGGAATCGAAACGTTTTGTGCGGAGAATGAAGATCATTTTACCGCTATCCACACACTTCATTGTGGAGTGAAGACGAGTGCATTACTCAAGCGGGTATTTGGTTTTATCGGTTTAAGCTGTAAGTGACTCTTAGATGCACGCTTGCTTTCCCCCATATTCTTTTGATGTCGCCTTTCTTTTCAATATCACATTTCCAATTGTTGCTGTGACCGTCCTTACGGTCCGCTACCCTCTATTACCTACGACTTATATTGCAATGGCTTCAGTTACCCTGAGTATTGTCCACACGAAAACAACAACTAACGTATATATATATATATATATATATATATATATATATATATATCTGTGGTACAGATATTGTGCTATTAGAATCATGGCTGAATAGGAAATTACTATGATTAATAAGAAAATAACAGCAACAAAAGCTTTTTAGCCCAGTTTGCAAGTCACAGTTTTTGAACTTTTCCGGTTTGTTTTTTAGGAAGAGGAAGGGGGACACCGATGCACACCTTCGCCAAGGCCTTAAACCAGCAAGTGTCCGCATCTTTCGGACCCCAACCAGGTAATGGACAACCACCGGCCGAAACCAACTGTTTCGTCAACTTTTTCATGCGGATTCTCCAAGGCTGTTTACCAGACCGTCTCTTCCAGCCCTATTCAGCAACTGCAAACAATGCACGACGCGGATAACGCTGAACAGGCATGCGCAATACTTGTACCAGCCACCGCAGTAGGTGCAGTGAGATGAGCTCCTTGAGCGAGTAACTTCCTCGTCCCTAGACACGCTGTCTAATTCCCACATTGTTTTCATGGTGCCTCCACCACACGCGGTTGATGGACCGCAAACAGCAGTGCTCGAAGACGGATAGTCTGCGCAAGTCATTTTTACGAATGGACCACGTCTCGCAGCCGTACAACAGTACAGCACGAACAGTTGCACAATAGACCCGCCCTTTGATAGAGAGACGAATGTCGTGGCGAAGCCAACAACGCCTTAGCCTAGAAAAAGCGGCCGTGCTCACGAGACGCGCATCGAAATCTCGTCTTCAATTGCCCCACCAGCAGTGATGCAACTTCCCAAGTAGATAAGGCTCTCCACAACCTCTAGTGTCTCACCGCCAAGAGTCAGTGTAGGCACAGGCACCTGCTAGTCTTGAAAGAGGCCTTGCATTTGGATGGCGAAAAGTACATACCATACTTTGTGCCTCAATCACCAAGCGGTTTAGTGCAAGTTGGATAGCGAGTCAATCGTCGCCTAGCAAGACGATATCATCTGCATTGTCCAAATCATCGACTCGACTGCGTGGGAGGAGCTCAACGGCAGCGTTCATCGAATCGCTCAGAGCGTTCTTCAGGACATCCTCAATGGCAAAGTTGAATAGGAACGGAGAGATAGAGCATCCTTGTCGAACTCCACTGGAGACCACAAAGGTAGGCAAATGCATGCCATAAGCCCTAACCCTGCCCGACGTCAGACTGTAGAGAGCGCGCAGTATGAAGACGAACTTCTCGGGGCCGCCATTCCTCAGTAGGCAGTGCCACAGTCCCGTCCGATTGACAGAATCGAAGGGTACACGGATATCCAAGAACATAGCAATCGTTGGCCTCTGATACTTATGGCGGAACTCAAGGATCTGGCGGAGTTTGAAGATTTGATCGATGCAGCCTCAACCAGAGCGAAACCCAGCTTGTTTTTCTCGCTGTAACAATTAGTGCGTTGGGTATAGCCTGCGAAGTCTGATGCCTACCAGCTGCTTGCAAACGGCGGGGACTAAGCTTATGCCTTTGTAGTTGGAGCAGATTGTGCGCAGGCCCTTTTTGCACATGGAGACGATTATCGAATCACCCCAAGATGATGGAACTTCCTCACTTGACCAAACTTTCGAGAACAAAGCAGTGTGTTCTCGATTTGCTGGTGAGAGGGAGGATGTGTGGGGGTAGACCACTCGGCACCAGTGCGAGCGCCAGTGGTAGCAGATGGAGCTGGGGGGCCAACAAAACTGCGTGCCAAAATGTTCGGCCCATCGCTCCAACCGTCGTTGAAGATTGGTGATTAAGAAACCATCCTCTTCGCATATTGTTTCACTTATCTCAGCTCGAACTCGAATGAGACGGAAAGGTTTTCTGGTATTACCAGAGAGATTAGCATGCTCCATCTCCCTAGCACGTTCACATCACCAAGTTTAATCGTCCATTTGCAGACTCTCGACCCAGGGATTCGCGTTTTTCACTGTCTCTCGGATCCGACAGGATCAAGCGGCGTTTGTCCATCAGCGACAAGGAGACGCGTAACTCCAATGCTTCGGTGGGTGAGGTGCAACACCACAAGGTGGTGCTCTTTTGGTTGAAGGCGGTCCACCCGTGCGTTAAAGTCCCCTTCAAGAATGACTATATCAGTCCTTTTGGAGAAACGCAAATGTAGCTCCTAGTAAAAGCTATCTTTAACCGCTTCCGGGCTGCAATCTGTAGGGGCGTAGGCGAAGACGACAAACAAGGCACGCTTAACGTCTCGATGCTTGCTTACATTACATGAACCTCTTGATCGGACTGCGCGTAGCCGACTGTTGACTGGGATCCAGTCAAGCATAGGTGATTCAGCCCTGGCACTCAGTGAAACCCCAACACCAGGTTGGCCAGAGGCGACAGCTTCTGGGTCTCCGGAAAGCCGCAAGTAGTATTTGGCGTCAGAGTTTACCGGAGAGGCGATTCTGATGATGGCACTAAAGTCTTGTAATCTGGTCTCTGAAAGGCAACAGACGTCTACCGAAAGGGTTACAAGAGTATGGGCCAGACATGCTTGTCGTCCGATCTGCATCAAAGTTCGAACATTAGACGCTGCGAGGATGAATGGAGAACCAGGTCGAAGAAGAGCTGGAGCTTCGGTGTGTTAAGAGGCGGTTGCGATCGCTGGACATTGAAAACCGGGAGTTTGGCTGTTACTTCCATCAGTTGCGAGACGTAGGTCGTTTGTGACGGTGACCGTAGAAGACATAAGCGTACATGTAGGTGAAGGGCGGGAGGTGGGGTGGTCTGTGAGTGGACGTTGAGCGGTTGAGTAAGAACAGAAGGGCGGCATAGCAGTAGCAGTACTGAGCGGTGTAGTCCATGATTTGTCAGTGGTCGTGATACTACCCGGTTGCCCAGGCCGAAGTAGAGAGTTGTCTTAGGGGGCCCTAGCCCCGAGCCTTTGATCAAAGATCTAACCTACAAGGCAGCAGGGCGATGTGAGGGCGTCACAACCTGTTGGGAGCCGGTGACCAAATAGATGGTTCATGCGCTTTTCGGTCCGTGGAGGACCAGGGATCCAATGCACCCTTGAAGTGAAATGCTTCTTAGGTAGGGGCAAGGGGCAGTGACTTTATTTAGTGACGAGTCACATCAGCCACGTCGCAGTGTTGTTAAACAGACATTTGTGGCTTTTCATAGGGCGAACGCTTGCTAGGCGAAGACCCACCACGTCTTGGAACACTGCCGCCGAACCATTTGCTGGAACGGGAACAACTCGAACCACCTAGCTGGCACCACGAGGAGGTTGTTCGGCAAGCCAACCGTAGCTCAACATGCCAGCCGTCCCGTACTATACTGCGCCACTGGACAGCCAAATCTTCATCATCTGACCACTTCTGCCCACCATCACAATCAGCTGTGCTATGGTTTGTGCACGCTCGTGATCAATTGAGCTGCTTTGCATGGCGCTTTCAGTATGTCAGTGGTTTGGAGTCAAACGGACTCAGCCACAATATCCTCTCAGATTGGGTTAGTCCATGGCTTTCTTCCTTCGGAATCTAGCTAGGGATGAAACTCTGTGAGCCTTAAGTCCAGCTCGAGTGGTGTGGCGCACGGACCCACCGATTTTGGCGATAAGATAACACCACTCCCATGCTCCATTTTCTACTACTATCCGAATGATATATCCGCAAACTAGATGAAGCGGGGAGGGATGGAGTGGTGATGAAAGACTAGGTCTAGGATTAGAGTTCGCTGTCCAACTTGCCGATGTGCGCATGCATCTCATATACACACGGGAAATCTTTGATCACTGGAAAGAGACGTTAGCAAAACAATATTAACTATAGGCAGTATCATGTTCCAAAAGCATCCTTACATACATGTCACAAACTCATTTTACTTCGTTGTGCCAGTGGAGGAGGGTAGCAAATGTGGTGGATGTGGAATGGCTCTTTACGTCAGTGATTTTTATCAGTCATTAATTGGCATTAGGCCCTTTCTTAATAACGTAGCCATGCAAACGTCTGTGTTGAATATATCTCTCACTTTGTTCACGGCCAATTCTCTGTTTAATGGAGTGCAGAAAACCCCTTTTAAATCGCATGTCCTCAGTTCGCTGTTGCCTGCCCCACACAATTGCGTAGCGTTTAAGAAAAAAGTTTGCTCTTATGCTAGTTCTTGATTTGTTAAGATTGTAGTACCACCTTGATATCTGAAGTATTGATGCGTTCATAGCTCATATGAAACATAAAGCCCATGTTGAGTTTTCGTCTCCTTAGCCCGTAGGGCTCGATTTATATCTCACGGCATTGGCCACAGTAAGATTACCAGTTTCTCACTTTTGTTTATAGCACAATGGGGAATGACAAACCATGGCACTGTGAGGTCACTTTATTCTCCGCCAAGCTGTTGGGATGGCCTAGCGCAACCTCGCATTAGTCGGTTCTATGTCTGAATGTTTAAGTTTAACGCAGCCCCGTAGCCCTTAGGATCACAAACCTGTCTTTGTAATCCGAGGGCGGGGTTTGAGTCTGCCTAGGGCCCGAGCAACTGTCGCAGCATTTTTAGCCGACGTCGTGGTTGCGCAGCAGCGAAGCGTCGGTACTGTCTACCCGCGTACTGCTGGTGCCTTTCTTCCAAACAGAAAAATCAAAAGATGTAAACTGTGAAATGACTCATTATAGTGTTGCTCATCCCAACACCGGCACCCCAAGACCGCGGTTTCGTCCTGTTGGGACTCATCAGTTGGAGATAGCCTGAGTTGGGCTGGAACTCAGAGCCTAGTGGCTCATGGTTGACGCCATAAGCACTATGCCACTGATGAGTCCCAACAGGACGAAACCGCGGTCTTGGGGTGCCGGTGTTGGGATGAGCAACACTATAATTTTCATTTT